CCGACTCATGGTGACCCCATGTGTGTCAGAGTAGAACTATGCTCCATAGGGTTTCCCATGGCTGATTTTTTGGGAACAGATCTCCAGGCCTTTCTTCCAAGGCACCTCTGGGTGAACTTGACCCCCCAGCCTTTTGGTTAGCTGCTGAGCACATTAACTATTTGTATTACCCAGGGACTCCATCCCCATTTTACAGAGGGGAAAACTGCAGCAACCTGAGACAACTTGTTCAAGGTCAAACAAGCTGGGAAGAGGCAATGCCAGCATCTGAATTCAAGGCTTTCTGACTCTAAGCCTGTGTTCTGGACACTGCAGCACACTGTTAGCTCTTGGCCCAGTGACATTGTCAATCTCTTGGTCAACAAGTTCATAGTCTCACCCTCCGGGAAGCCTCTTTCCCCTGTTCTGACCTCAGAACCGATAGAAAGACCACGTTTACCATCATCCCTTCTCCAGGTTAACTTACCCTGTGCTTCCGGCTTCTCTTCAGAAGATTCTTCTTTTTTCCTCACCTATGATGGGAGTCTCTCCGTGCACATATTTGCAGAGTTGCAGGACTTTGTGCACATGACGGTGCAGGGGTCCCCACCCACTACTGGCTTGACCACAACTAGGTGGGTATGTATGGAGGGAGGTGTTTGTGTGTGTTTTGAAACACTGTATTGTAGTGGAAAGGACAGGAGCTTTGAAGTCAAACAAACGTGGGTTGATTCTCATGACTCACGGTAAATAACATGGGAAGTGCTGAGTTCGTGCCTGGCACGTGGTAAACCTTCCGTAGCTGGGAGTCACTTGCGTTTGCACGCATGCACATGTGTGACAGGTGTATTTGGTTGCCGGTCCTTAGCCTCAAGACTCCTGACATGAACAGTATGCCCTGTGGTTTTGTGCAAGGGGCAAAAGTGTGTGGAAAGAAAAACCACCCTATACTGCAGTACTCTAGTGCATGCTGGGAAGAAGCTGTTGTGTATGGTGCTTTTGAGTTACCATGGCAATGTGCCTAAGGAGCACAGACTTCCTCCCCGGTTGCTCCGTCTGCAGAGGACATCATGAGCTTTCCTCCCATAGACTATAGTGTCACCCTGGGATAGCTGGGGGCCCCACCTGGCCTCCCTCCATCCCTGCTTCACTGAACACATGCACACCACCCTTGGAGTGAGACAGTGGGTTGTGTCCTGCACCAAGGTATCCAACCAAGGAGAAGGGTGGGGCTGAATTTCCATGTGTGCTCTGCTGGCCAAGGCTTGGGCCCTGACGGGTGCTGCATCTATCTAGAGAGTGTCTTTTCTAATTCACACAAAGGCGCCACATAGCCTGGGTGTGCTCTGAGCACCTCCCACACTAAGGGATCCCGAGGGGGGTGATGAGGACCCAGGCCCCTTCTCATCTGCCTTTTCTGACGTCTGTTTGTCCCCTAGGTCCCTGGGTGGTACAGACAGCTTGCACTCAGCTACCAACCAAAAGGTTGGCAGTTCGAATCTACCCAGCAGTGCCATGGAAGAAAGACCTGGCAGTCTGCTTCCATAAAGATTATAGCCGAGGAAATTATATGGAGCTCAGTTCTGCCCTGTAACAGATAGGGTCGCCATGAGTTGGAATTGACTGGACAGCAGCCAACAACAACAACATTTGTCCTCGAGGGCTACCCTACACCCAAACCCAACATTTGATGACAAGGACGAGTAGAAGCAGCCTCAGAGGCACCTTGACTTAGCTAATAAAACAAGCCATTGAGCGGTTAGGTTAGTATTACCATCACAAAGCAGTGTGTGCCTTGCATACCTTCCCCCATCCCGTACCTTCCCCCATCCCTGACCCTCACCCACCATGGGCAGGAGGAAGAAAAGGGTAAAGTCTAGTCATGAGCTGGGGGTCCAGGGTGGGGTGGGAGGAAGGACAGGAGTGGGTGAGGATAGGGGGCTGAAGTCTTTTGTAAATGTAGCATTCACATTTTTAAGCCAAAAATGTAAAGATATGCCATTGTGGTTATGAAATGGGATCATAAGATGTCAGATTCCCTCCAACCAAGGCAAAAATGTCTGTAGCCTCTCCAGTTCTGGAGGCCTTCTTGTCATGGGTTTGTAAGTCCTCTCATCCTGGGGCTGCGCGCTGCGGTCACCCCCATCCCACACAGCAACATGGAGTCCAGCCAGACTTCTTAGGAGCCCCCACTCCACCAGACCCACCCTGAGCTGAGCCTTCGAGAAGCAGAGTGGCATACCCAGGATGGCCACCAGGGGACACTGCCGGGGCACGGAGGGAGCTTTAGAGGGCAGCCTCAGCAGGACCCATCCGAGGCTAGGAGTAGAGACCAGATCCTGGGAAGCGGGTTACCCCAGTAAGTAAAGCTCTGTCCCAACCTCCTCCCCATGTGCCCCAAACCTACATCTGTGGGGAGGCTGCTTGGAGTCAGATGTTCTTCCACTAACATCTCCCTGCAACCTTCAGCCAGTCACCCCTTCCTGGACCTCAGCCTCCAGTCTATGCAGTGAGGGGGACTGAGTGACTGAATGAGTAACTGGGCTGGGGTTGGGGGCTGGGACTGGGGTCTTCAAAGAAAGAGATGTGGGAAAGAAGGCACCACGATTAGTGCCATGGGAAGTAGGAAAAGGTCTTTTTCTCTGTCCCTACCACCACTCCCTCTTAGTACCCCAGGGTCCTAGAGCATTGGGGAACACTGAGTGACCCTACTGAGCTCAGTTGGCCACCGTGTGGATTAAACATTTTCCCCTTTAATAGGACAGTCGTCCATCCATTCTTGAGATGTTCATTGAGCACCTACTATGTGCTGTCTCTGTGCTTGATGCTAGTGGTGCAGAGATGCCGTGTGTTATATTGGAAGAAACATGAGTTGCTTCCTGAGCTCAGATGTGCCCAGTGCTATGTGCTAGGCATGTGACTGTGGGCAGTTTACTTGACCTCTCTGCAACTCTGTTTTCTCATCTGTAAAATGGGGCACTAGCACAGATCTCCCAGCAATGTAAGGATTGAACTTCTGGCACACACACAAGTCTCTTGGTCACCTTGCTCTTTGGACTTGCACACCCCTTAGAGATGTGTGTGCCTTGTCCCTCATCTCTGCCAAACCCATAGAAAGCATCTCCCTTGTGCTGTGATTGTGCCCAGAAACCTGCATCTTGGCACCAGCTTCTCAACACCTACATAGCATTTTAGAACCAAGCTTTTTATATATATGTATACTTTCTGGTCCTGTCTGTGTGCCATGCCAAGCCATCGGTTAAAGTCATGGAGCAGCTCAGCAAGGTGACACTTGTCAGGGTAAATAGGCATCTTCAGCCATGGAAGAGATGCCGAGCTGGGGACCAGGCTCAGGCCGCTGGCACAGTAGCCTGCCGTTTCTCCCTTCTCCTTGCTGCCCGCATGGATATCTGGTGCTGACCCCGAGGTCCCTCTTCCCAGCCTTCTACAAGCTTCTCCAGGGCAGGGAAGGAAGATGGCTGAGTCAGGGTGTAGAGTTGTCTCAGAAAAGGTGCCCTGGAATGCTCTGGAGAGGGCGGTGCTGTCTGGCTTCCTGCCTGCCCCACCCACCCCTCCCTCTGCTGACAAGACAGTCAAGGCAGCCGCCTGCCAGCAGGCCTGGACTGACTCTTGGAAAAAAAATACCTCTTGAAAGGGGTTCATAAATGTTCCTTTTGGCAGCTAAGAGAATATAACAGCCCTGATGAGTCTTTGGTTGGGGAGGGACCAAGTGGGCAGTTTGGCTCACCAGAGGGTTTGGGGAAGGAGGGAAAGGGGAAGTAGCCTGGAGAGTCCGAGGTCTTGGGTCTCCTTCATTGCTTTGCCATCGTCTTTCTGTCAGCCCAGACTCTCTCCCGCAGGGTGGCTTCAGGAAGATGTTGGGGACTGGATTCCGTTCAGTGATTCTAGGTCCCAAAGCGAAAGAGGGTAAACCATCGGGCAGGGCCAAATCCTCTTCCTGAGACTGTCCTTAGGGCCTAAGGTGGCACCTGGTGCAAAGGACATGTTCGGTAAAGATTCACTGGATGGATCGATAGAGGACAGGAGGTTCTTGAGTTTCTTCATGAGGAGGCACCCTTCCGTCTGTTGGATGTTGTTTTCACTCTGGAAAGAAGATGGGATAAAGGTCTGTTTGCCACTGTAGATTCTCACCTGTCCGGGCTAATATCCTGCCTGGAAACCAGATGGGGTGGGGTGGATAGGTTGGATAAAGTTACCTCTGCTCATTTAGGGTGTTTCCATCCTCAGAATCCTAGAGGGTCCAGACCTACACATCCTCCTCAATCAGGATTGGACCACTTATCAGGGGTCTGAAGATCCCAGGGATCAGTCCGTGCTCTAGAAAATGACTGCTCACCCTTTCATTTCCCTGACAGCCACCTCACTTTTAGGAGGCACTATCTGAACTGTCTTCCCTTGACCCATAAACAAGCCCCAGATGATCCCAGTCAGTGCCTGGGGCCCAGGGAGTGTGATGTGCTGAAGTCAGCTTGTACCAGACTCACCAGAGCCAACTGTTAGCATCTCTTCCCAACTCTGTGGTCATTGACATCATGTTAGTAGCTTGAAAGCAGCCATGGTAGGAATATTTACACCATAGAAATTGGCAAATGCTACAAATTAGGATGCCCCCCCTTCCAAGAGCCAGTTGTTAAACATTTACCAGCACATCTCTGGAGAGGAGGTCGCTGGTAGAGGTTCCAGCTGACCTCAACCATGAGAAGCCTTGCTTGGGATCTCGGCTGTGAGAAGCAGGGCTTGGGAGTCTGAGGGAAGTGCGTGGGTACCAAAGGCCCCATGTCTTTGATCCCCTGCCAGGTTCAGGTGCTTCAGAGGGCTCAAGAATATTATCTACAACCTCTGGGAGGGCCTGCTGTGCTGGCCAACTTCTGAGAAGAGGACGCAAGTGACTAGCATGACCTAGATGGTTCTATGGTCACTCTCCCACTTCCCTGGTCCTCTAGGCTCCCCAGAAGTAAGCCCTCTTCACTCATCCAGCCTTTTCCTTCTCTCCTTCTCAGACCCAGAGTCCCAGAGAAAGAGAACAGTACAGAATGTCCTGGATCTTCGCCAGAACCTGGAGGAGACCATGTCCAGCCTGCGAGGGTCCCAGGTGACTCACAGGTAAGTGCAAGCTGCAGAGGGGGTCATGCCCACCACCGTCCTCTTTCTCTCCTCCATTCTGGAGGGCAGGGCCCCAGTGTCTCTCCAGACCTCTGCCTCATCAGCCAGGTAGCCTGGCCCCATGGAACCACCCCTGGAGGGAGAGGAGAATCCAGCCATCTCAACAAAAGAAGCTCGGCTTTATCTTGTCTCTGCTTGTGCTTGAGCATTAAAAACCAACAGAAACGAAACCCGTTGCCGTTGAGTCGATTCTGGCTCATAGGGACCCTGTAGGGCAGAGTAGAACTGCCCCATAGAGTTTCCAAGGACAGCCTGGTGGATTCGAACTGCCAACCTTTTGGTTAGCAATTGTAGCAGTTAACCACTATGCCACCAGGGTTTCTGCTTGAGCGTTAGACTTCATTTAAACAGTAAGTTTGAAAATCACTAGTGTAGGGGATGGAAAGCGGAAGCCATCATACAGCTCACGTTCCCCTCCTTAGGCCTCAGTCTCCTCATCTGTAAAAAGGGCATTTACTGCATACTCTCCTCCTGTCTCAAGTTGCCATTGTTCTAGGGTCCTAAGACTGGTGCTCTTCCCAACGCCCAGCATCTTGTCATTTCCCTGTCAGTTATAAGCCCTCTTGCCTCCTCAGCCAGTTGCTGAGGGAGGCCTGCAGTGCTCAGCGGGGTTCCACACAGTGTCACCTAGGTTCCATGCCCTGTGGGTAAGCCCTCACCCACCCCTTGAGGAGACCTCACAGCTCCAGCTGCGTGGAGCACTCGCCCCTCCCCCAGCACCTCTCCCTGGGGCAGCATCCTGGCCGCAGCCTCTGCCATGACTCAGAATTTCCCCTGCCAGCTCTTCGGGCTGCCCAGATGAGCTCATGCTGTCAGCTCCAAGGGGGGCAGAGGGCTGGGCTAAGCCCTGGGGTAGAGGGCGGGAGAGCAGACAGCCCGCACTGGGAAATCATGGGGGGTGTGGAGCTAGAAGGCTGAGGGAAGGACAGACAAACTCCCCAGTTGGCCTGGAAATGAGTTCCTCCCTATCTCCTGGGGTAGGGAAATCGAGAGCAAAACTGGGACATGGGGCAATGTGGGAAAAGGGCTTTTCTTAGCCCAAGTGTGTGGCCAAGGGGTACCCAGACTAAACTTACATATCTCCAGTGACAGAGAACTCACTACCTCTCAAGCCATTGCAGTTCATTGTGGGATTGCGGTGACTCTGAAGTAGAACTGAAATCGGTCTCCAGTAGCTTTCACTCATTGGCCCTAGTTCTCCTCTTAATACCATCCTTCTTCCTCCTTCAACTACTTCTCACCCCTACCCCCACTCAGTCCCCCACAGTGGACACCTGACCCTTTGCTCTTGGCTTCTAAAGTATTTTAAATGGTGACAAGATAAGTCAAAGCCGCTTCTCTCTGGGGTTAACTCTGTTCAGTGCAGCAGGCCCTGACTCCAGAAAGGGAGGTGATCAAGGAGGTCTGAAGAAAAAAGTGGACGGTGGGGCTTCAGGAGGCCATGGGACTCAGGCCCCCTTGCATCTCTCTCCCACCCCACCCCAGCCCTTGCATCCCTGAGCAGGAACCCAAGTGGGGCAGAGGATCTTGGCTGACAGCTTAGAAATCCCATGGATGAAATCTTAAATGTTCTCTTTCCCCCATTAGGGAAGTTGTTGGAACAACTGTCAGCACCAAGTCACCTGCCCAGCCCCACGCCAAAAAAGCCAGAAAGTGCTTAGCTACTGAGACAGTCACACCCGACTGACCCACGCACAGGAGGAGCAGAAGCAGCAGCCCCAGGCTCTAGGTTCCCCCGACTCAGAGCAGCCAGCCCCGCCATCCAAGTGAAGCAGGGGAGCTTGGCCCAGGCAGGGCTGTTAGCTTTCTGCTTGGGGTGGAAGCGCGGAGGCCGTAAGCCTTGGTGTAAAGTTGACTGGTTTCGGGGGGTGAACCTCGGGCCTCTGGTTTCTGTCTCCCTTCATGGGAAAGGAACCAAGAGGTTGAAATTGGTTTTTCTGTTTACTGTGAACCCAGAGCCACTTCCTCTCTTAACCTTTGGTTTATATTATTCCTGTTCCACACTTTGATAGCCAAAACAACGATTCCCTCAAGTTTTATGGCTCTTTTACTTTTTAAAGTATTTTCCATCCATCAGCCCTTCACTCAGCGCTGGGAGTAGACGGGGTATATACATATCTCCTGGGTTAGAGAAGGAGCAACTGAGGCTGGGGAGAGAGAGTCACTTGCCAGAGTCACACAGACCACAGGCTGATGAGGGTGGGCTCTTCACCGAGAAAGCTGAGAGCCTGTGGCGGCTGTGTGCCAGGCACCGTGCTGGGCACCAGCCCCTCAGAACAAACAGGCTTTATCCTTGAGGAGCTTCCAGTTCAGCGAGGGTTATTTTCACCCTGGAATGTATAGGCAAACTCTAGATTCAGTTCCTTTTCAGGAATCTTTATTCCTGTACTGCTTCCTCTATTTCAGCTGGCTCGTTTCCCTCAGGAAAGAAAGAGGCAAGACTGAAGGGCTGGAAGTCAAGAACTGAGATTCCTAGCTAGAATCCTCTCCCACCAACTTAGGCTGGGGATGTATGCTCTTAGTGGCCCTCTCCAGAAAGTCTTTCATCTCTCTTGTGCTTGGGGGACAAAAAAAGATCAGCAAAGTAAGGAAAGAGGCACTTGTAGTGCAGAGAGCTAAACAGGGAGCAAGTTAGGAATAGAACTGAGGAACGTGGACATTCAGTGCTACCCACGCCTCCGCGCTCATTGCATTACCAAGGTGCAGGCTAGCCAGAAAACCAGCTTTCCTGGAGATCCCTGTCACCCCGTCAACATGGCCATCATCATCCTCTTTCTCTTCCTCTGGTTGTCAGCTTGTTTGTATCAAGAACTTCCAGCACAGGGCCCTGTGCTGAGTCTTATGAAGAGAACTCCCCTGTTCTTCAGCTTGGCACACTCATTGTGGGTTTGCTCCTCATTGTCATTCTTGAGCACCAACTGCATGCCAGGCACTGTGCAAAGTGGTGATCAGGGAGTGGTCATGCCAGGACCACAGTCTGCCTTCAGGGGATTTCCATTCTCTCTGAGAAGATGAGATGTCTAGGTCCACAGTAACTAGGGACCAAAACAAGACAGTGTCCAACCAAGTGCTCGGAGAACAGAAAGGAGAGCCTGCAGGACTCCAGGGGCCCACGGGGAGAGGCCGAGGGTGGACCAGGGGTGTTGGGGAAGGAAGCCCTCAGGAGGGTCAGAAGCAGTGGTCACTAATTGTCCTGCCTGCCAGGACTCCTCCAGCTTGCCCACAGGACTTCTGGAGAGATCACCATCTTGCTCAGGTTCAAGGGTCATTTAGTTCCCTCTAGTTCTCTTGAGGAGCCTTCGTGGTGCAATGGTTAAAGTGCTCAGCTCCTAACCTAAAGGTTGGTGGTTTGAACCCACTAGCCGCTTCATGGAAGAAAGATGTGGCAGTCTGCTTCCGTAAAGATTTCAGCCTTGGAAACCTTATGGGGCAGTTCTACTCTGTCCTACAAGGTATCTATGAGTTGGAATCAACCTGATGGCAATGGGGTTTTTGTTGTTGTTGTTGTTAGTTCCCTTGATCTACCATCAAAAAATAAAGCCCTATTTCCTCAAGTTCCATGGAGACAATTTTGTAGGGTTTTCTTTTTTCGAGGAAAAAAGAAAAAACAAGGAAGAGAAAAATCAATGTCCTACTCCCATCCCAACTCTAAAAGTGGCTAAGAAATGGATGTGTTCACAGAGGGAAGATTCCTTTGCTTTATGTAACTCAAGTCCAGTCACAGATTGACTTAGCTGACCCAGCGTTCTTGGCCCACAGACCCCATTTCATTTCCTCAACCCCACCTAGCTTAGTTAGACCAAGCAACTCAGATGCTACTTGACTGGGGCTGGCACCACTGCTGGGCTGGGTGGAATGATCTTTCTCTGCCTGAAACCAAATCCAGGCCTTCCCTCCAAACAGATCCCAAATGTACCTTCTCTCTGTGGCCACCATGGCCTCCAGATGGAAAGGCACCTCCTTCCCTACCCTCCAGACCCCCCCAGCCTCAGGTCATCTTGCACTAACCTGGGCATTGCTTCCTTGGCCTGGCCAGCAGGCCCTGAGGCTTGGGAGCTGGGACATCCTGCCTTCACTCCCTCATGCCTTTCCCCATGTTCTCCCCTTTGTCCTGCTAAGGCCCTGGTGAGGCTCTGCTTCTTCCCCTGCTGCCCTAGGCCTATAGCTGGGACCAGTCTTGCTGGGGACCTGCCTTGCATCTCAGGTTCCCAAAGCCTGCCCTACACCTGCACAGCCCACTCCAGGCTTTCCCGTGTCTATGGTTTAGTAATCAACTCTCTCTCAGCTCATTCATAGAAAAGAAGTGTTGGACACACCTTGAACAGAATGAATGATCAAGGTCTCCTAAGCTCAGGTGACCAGCCTCTCCCACTTCCCCAGGAGGTCTCATTGGTCCCTTCTCATTTATTGAGCTCCTTCTATATATCAGGCACTGTGTTAGACCTTTACATATGTGCTCCTCACAGCTCTATGAAATAGTTATAATGCTATTCTCCCCATTTTACAGATGAGGAAAAGGAGGCTTAGCAAGATTATTTACTTTCCTTGGCCTCACTTAGCTAATAAATCGCAAAAAAGGATTCAAACCCAGGTCATATTACAGAATTTGTTCTCTCAGCAGAATACTGGATTGCTTTCCTAGCCTTTTAAAATCACCTTCCTTTGATAACCTGAGATAACTTTACATACAACAAGGATAACACAAATAGGCTTCTTGGAGGAGGCGACCTTGGGCAAGTCGGGAGGACATGCAGAGTGGAGGGGAGGCATTGCAGGGGTGCACTATGAGGGGACACGGGGCAGAGCAGCTGTGCTGAGGAGTAAAACAATGTCCTTCTGCTCTTTGCCCAGCTCCCTGGATATGACCTGCTACGACAGTGATGACGCCAACCCTCGCAGCGTATCCAGCCTCTCCAACCGCTCATCCCCTCTCTCCTGGCGCTACGGCCAGTCCAGCCCCCGGCTGCAGGCTGGCGACGCACCTTCAGTGGGTGGGAGCTGCCGCTCGGAGGGGACGCCTGCCTGGTACATGCACGGGGAGCGGGCCCACTACTCCCACACTATGCCCATGCGCAGCCCCAGCAAGCTCAGCCACATCTCCCGCCTGGAGCTGGTCGAGTCCCTGGACTCAGATGAGGTGGACCTCAAGTCTGGCTACATGAGCGACAGTGACCTCATGGGCAAGACCATGACGGAGGTCGACGACATCACTACAGGGTAAGGGCGGGGCCCCTTCAACAACTGGGGCAGAGAGCTGGGGAGGACAGTGGTGCGACCACAGGGATGGGATTCATTAAAAGTGGAATGGAACCCAAAGCAGAGGTTTTGGTTTGCTGTGCTGTGGCAAAAGGTAGCCATATAGGGTCTTTTTATATTGACTGTGACTACCCGTGGAGGTTGAAATGGTTTAATCTAGACTTGCGTGTGGTGGGCGGGGCCTAAATCCAAGCGCTGATTGGTCAATGAAGGCACCTCCCTCTCCTTGGCTCCTGTTACCCCACCCTCTTCCCTGCCCCCTTGATCCCAAAAAGCCGGCTGAACAAACTCTGGAAAAGTGTTAGTCCTAGCTGTTCTGCTAACTCTCTGTGGGCCTTGGGCTCGCTAATCTGCTTCCTCATTGTAAAAAGAAAATAATAATACCCTTTTTGTCTACCTGAAGGGGTTGCTGAGAAGAGGAAATGAGAGTATGTAGGTGAAAGTGCTGGTCAAACAGGAAGCGGTCATTTCAGTTCTCCTGCCTTTGCTGGGGGTTCCCAGCTCGCTTGTTAGTGGTTCTCAGTTTCTACTCCTCACTTTCTTCCCCTGCAAACCTTCTGCCAGTAATTCAATTTCTTAGTCCCATCCCCAGTCTATTAAACTCTTCTTTCCTGCCCTTTATCCCACAGGGACCCTCATCTTACCTTTTTTTGCCTTTAATTGTTAGGGTTGGGCCTGTGGAGGTGGCTGAGACACAGCGGGCAGTCTGAGTAGTGAGGGGAGACAATAGGAAGATTGAGGTGCTGAGGGACTCAAGGGGTTCTGGCCAACTGTTCCAAGCCCTGAGACGAGAGAGCCACAGTGGTTCTGGAACCTTCTCAGTGGACTGCCACCTCTACTCTTCCTTCTCCTTGGTTTGCTGGGGACCCCCCAAATGGACCACACAGGCAACAACAGTACCCCTTTCCCTATCCCTCTCAGGGACTTAGTATCTTACTATCAGAGACCACCCCTCCTAACGAAAATCTCAAGACTTCAAGGGAATGGAAAGTAACCCCCCTCAGAGGACTGAGTGCCAAGCTCCAGGCCGTCCACTGTTCCCCACCCTGAGGATAAACTTGGAGGGATCTGGTCAGGGCCTGTCCAGCTGGTGAGGCTGCTCTGGAGCAAAACAACTGACGCATGAATGGGGTTGTTTACAGCCTGTTAGATCCCAGGGGCCGGCCCGACCTCACGCTTAGATCTGCCGGCTAGAGCTGAGAACAGAGACAAATCATCCAGCACACAGGCCCTGAGCTCCTTCTGTGGCCAGAGGCCTGTGCTAGGCAGGAAGGAGAGCCAAGGAGACTGATGAGCTGCTATCCACAGCCTCTCCCCAAGGAAGCACCTTCTGTGAGGAAGTGTCAGGCTCCTGCCTTCAGAGAGCTCCCAGTCAGATAGGGCAGAGGGAGGCACAACCCCTGTGGGGCAAAGGGCTTAGAAAGTTACCCAAGTGCTGGAAGGGCCTGACCCCTGGTCTCAGAGAACTCTCAGGCTGAGGAAGGTGACCGGACATCTCCCCTCTGGGAGCTCCCAGACTGATAGAGGTGAGAGCCCTCTGAGGGCCCCCCACGTGAAGGGGCAGAAAATTCCAGGGCCCCAGTCTTTGGAGAGGTCCCGGTCTGAGGGAGGTCGCAGGACTTTTGGCACTTACTAGCTGTGTGAGCTTAGGCAAGTTAGTTAACCTCCCTGGACTTTAGTTTGTCTACCTGCTAAATGCAGATAATAGTAGACACTGTCTCATAAGGCTGTTATGAAGATTAATTGGGTTAATACAGGCAATTGGTTAGAATAATGTCTGACTCATTGTAAATGCTTGGTAAATGTTAGCTATTATTTTAATTGTTATTATTATTGCTATTATGATTAACATTATTATTGATATGCTTGTCTGAAGGAGGTGAAGGGCTCCTGCCGCCAAGAGTCTCAGACTGATAGGGGAGATCCAGCCCTTGTCCTCAGGGATCGTGCAGTCTGACCATAGAGCCACGCACTCAGAAGAATCAGAAATAAGACACAAAAGGAAGGACAGGCCCAGTAGTAGCTGGACAGTCTGGAGGCATAGATGGTGGGATGTGGGGGCATGGAGTGCTTTGGGGAGAGCACCCCCAGCACCCTTTCTCTAACCTCTTTTCTCTGGATAGTGTATGTGTTCCTGAATCAACACAGCAGAGTTCACTGCAGCTGGTAGTAGTAAGAACTTGCGCTCCCTGTACACACATCTGCTATAAGCTCAGGGAAGCCTGGAGTTTGCATGGGGAATATAGAGTACACTGTTGATGTGACAGTATCCATAAAGTGGACCATCCTGTAAACTGTGATGCTGGTTTTCCAGGTGATTTACAAGATAACGTCACATGAGGTTTTTATTTACAGCCAGTCTTCCATTGGCAGTAACTCTCAACACTTTAGTTTTAAGGTTTCTCTGGCATTTGCTTCCCGGCCAGGAGTGTAGACACATCCGTCTTTAGATGTGCTAAGGAAGTCAGAGTTGAGGGGAATCAGTTTATAACCACCAATAATTTTAATGTAAACAATCACTCCTCAATTATGTGTTTTGGGGTTTAAGTATGTGTGTGCATGTTTAATTAGAAACAGGGCACCCCTCAATTCCAGCAAATCTTGCCATGAACGTGCAGACCTGAGCTGACTTTGCTCAGACTCGTTTTGGTCTTCCCATCCCCAGTGTATAAATTTTGTAATTTAGAAAACGACCTATTCCTAAGAAAATTGTTTTTCCTATTCATAAAACAGGTAGGGCTCTTACCTTTAGGGGTGACCTGCCACATTTCCCTTCTCACCCACACAGTGACAACCCTACCCACCTGGTCAGCCACTGCCCACTTCATTCTCCACAGCTCTTAGCACTGGGCCTGCTTGAGAAGTGAAGCTGACTGCTGGGCTTCCGCTTTCCCCGCTGGGCGAGACCAACAGCCACACGCTGTCTGAGTCAGCCATACAGGACGACAGTGAGTCCGAGACTTTCTCAGTGTTCTCAGATCATCCACTTGGAGCTTCTTCCCAGGCCAGCGTTCAGTCTCAGGTCAGCTCTCCTCACTCCATCCAAACGCCAGGCCCCTTTCCTGGGTTGCCAATTGGTGTGAGCTTAAACTCATCGATGTTGAGTCAATTCCAACTCATGGCAATCCTATAGGACAGAGTAGCACTGCCCTATAGGGTTTCCAAGGCTGTAAATCTTTACAGAAGCCGACTGCCACATCTTTTTCCCTCGGAGTACCTGGTGGGTTTAAACCGCCGACCTTTCGGTTAGCAGCTGAGCACTTAACAACTGCACCACCAGGGCTTAGGGAAGGCAAATTCTTCACATTGAAGCTCAGCAAACGAGAATGAGGAAGGGGAATCTGCTACTGCTGCCAAAATAATCACATATATATGTATGTATGTATACGTATATATGTGTGTACGTATATATATTTAATCATGTACTTTAAAAAATAATGATAATAATAAAACTAGACCAGAGCAATTTAGTGTTGGAGGTAACCTCAGAGTATCTTGTTCAGTCCTTCCCAATCCTGGCTAATCATCAGAATGGCCTGAGGAGCTTTTTAAAAATACAGATACCAAGCTTCATCCCAGACCTACCACTGCAGAATCTCTGTTAAAGCTTCTCGGTGATTTTGGACTCGTCCAAGAATCTTTTCTCTAGTATCCTGACAGCTTTCAGCTTTGGCTTGCTTAGGCCCAGTGACAGAGAGCTTATTCCATTTCAAATACAATTATACAAAATTTTCTAAGGATTCAGCAGAAATCTGTTTCTCTGTAACTTGTCTAGTAATTGAAATTCTGTCATCCTGGCAAAGCAGAATAAGTTTAAGTCTTCATCCAAACAGTTGAACATGATCTTAATGGTTGCTCAGATAAATTCTCTTCTCCAACCCCCAACCCTCCCCCCCCAAAAATCTCCAGCTTATTTCAGTACTTTTGCAGATGACCTGGTTTCCAGGCCCCTCGTTATCCTCGTTGCCCTTCTCTGGAAGCTTTCAACTTTTCAGTGATCCTCTTAAGATTTGGCACCCAGACTGATCACCCGCCTGATGCTCGAGGCAGTCCTGCCAGGGTGATATCCAAATCATGACACTGCAGACAACTTCAAGTGGGCTGTTGACTGTCCGAGGTGATAGCTTGGGACATTTTTACTTATTGAAAAGAGAAAAGGAATTTGTGTTTCTAAAAATAGGAAGGTCTGGAATTTAATCTAAGCATGAAGATAAATTTCACAGCCCTCTGTTCTTGCCATCCCCAGCATCCAGGACTGGAGGTGGAGGGGAGTGGAGGGTGGGACAGCCATGCAGAGGTGAATGCAGGCACTGAGTATGGGGCCACGCGTGCCCAGAGGGCTCTCTATCCCCACCCTCCACTTGGGTGTACCTCTCGGTGTCTCCATTTCTCTCTATGTACATGGCTGTCTGGGTGGCCCGTGTCTGAGGTCTGTGATGGGAATGGACAGGAACTTCCAGGCCCAGCCAGCAGCAGTACTGCCATGTCCCACAACTCCAGGGGCACCATTTGCATTGTATAGGGTTGTGCAGTCAGCAGCCCGGACAGGACTGTTGGCCAGAGGACCTACGATAAGAGCCACCAAGCCTTAGAGTCAGCAGGCCCCTCATCAGCTGGTCACATGGCCTGTGTCTCTCCTCAGGAGTTTGGTTCCTTGCTCTGTGTGTGTGGCTGGTTATTTCAGTCTTCTTGTTTCGCTCCCTGCCCCCCTCCACCCCCTCCCCAGCCTGCCCTCTTGAACTGTGCTTGGCGCTCAGGAACAGATGGGATTCGTTTCCTCCTTGGCTCTGTAGTGTCCTGACATTGAAAAATGTCAAAAAAAAAATAAACCGTAGGCCCCTGCCTTCTCCTAGACTGTCTCTGTGCTCCCAGAAACAGTGAGGCCAAGCCTTAAAGAGACTTTCCAGCCTTGCTGACCAGCCCAGCCTCTGCAGCCCCCTCCTGAAGAGCTTCATGCACGCGTCT